TCGTCTGCATGACCGAAACATTTACTGACCGAGGTAAAAAATAGCCTATGTCTTTCTCCATTCCATATAGTAGATACGTTTATACCAAATGCATAGTAATTGGTTAAGCCGTTAGAGCACTATAAGGTAATAAACAAACAAACTCACTTTCACATTTATAATATTAGTAAGGATTTAGGTAATTAGGTTTACGCTACATCTACGTTCATTTCTTTGTTACTGACTACATTATTTAAATGGGCAGACGGAAACCTATCAAAATCCTTAACATTAATTAAAGTTTAACGGTATTTCTATTAATGGATAGTTAGGAATGACACACAATTTATATTCTCGGCATTGATTATATGATGTCATCTTAGTATTTTTTAAATGGGTGATAATGGAATGGTAACCCCGCCCGCGCTAACGGTAAACACCGGCGGGGCACCAGTGGAAGATGATAGGTGAGAATGAATGCAGGCCAGTCGGCCCACCATGAAAAATTTGACAAAAATTAACCATGATGGTTTCTAGGGAGAACCGCGTGGAGGTCGATCTGAGAGGCTATATTGCTAGCAATGGGGCTATTAGCCCTAATTACAAGTATATACTTACAGACTAAATAAAAAGATATACTTCCAGACTGGTCCCATAGAAATGTTATCAAAATCGGTTTTGTTGTTAATTTTTAAAAAAAATAATTAATTTGGCTACTAATTAATAAACTAATTTTTTTTTTTTTGTAGAATCAATCTTAAATTATTCAATTCATATTTTGAATGCCCATCAATATTTTTACGTCAAAATGGTCAAAATAAAACCCAAATGACAATCTCGTATATATATAATACTCGTTAGAATCTATTGTTAATTTAGAAATTTTATTATTTTTAATCACCTTCAAAATACGAATAATAGAAAGTACAAAGTGTTGACTATCATCCGTTATATTCATTATAATTATAGACTTACGATAATGATATTTTGATAATATTTATTATCTCCTACATAAGATATATCCAACTCATTACACAGTCTATAATCAGGACTAGCTGGTATGTCTGACTGCTGTATAAATATTATTATCGTCTATAAACATGCCATAGACTATTTACGACTATGCTTTTAGCTAGTGGCCTCTTTGCAAGTATAACATCTTTTATTTTCAGATCAGAATTGCAAAGTGCAGAATATCACTGTGTAAATTGCATATTAAAAAATATAACAAAAAGTCTTTAAAAGTCAAGTTTGTCACAGACAAATGTCGTTTGCTTGGATCCCATTCGTGTTTCTACTGTGAAGCAGTTGTGTTAGGCTGTGTTTCGGTTTGAAGAATGGGATATGGCAGTGAATTTACAGGATACAAAAAAAGCATAACACCTTACTCCTCAGGAATGGGAATGCATGAATCAGTTTATGAATGGGCAAAACAGTATAATCTGTTATGTCTATGGTACTGTTCATATCTGCAGGTAGCATATACCACTTTCCGTCAGATGGGCCGTCAGCTTGTTTGCCATTCTAAGCATAAAAAACCCAACTAGTTTAATACGGTTATTACAATAATAAGAATAACTATTATAACTTATAATAACCAGCTAAGTTTTTAACATTATTACAGTTTATAATCGCTACACTAACTGTTATGTCTGGCTCCTATATAAATATTGTTATCATTAGTGTCATAGACTGTCTACGACCTACTATTGTATACATTGCTCCAACTGCTTAACCCTTGAAATGTATAAATTAATATTTAATAGATCATAAGGCACATAATTTACAATTTATCGTCAGATTTTTTATCCTCTGATAATATTTTGTAAAACGTCAACTCTGCACTTTGCAAATTGTATATTGAAAAATGCAACTTTATAAAAGAATTTAATGCAGTAAACCTCAATCATATTATGGATTGACTCATTGTTATTTAAAATAATAGGAATTACTTTATGATAACCGGTTAAATATTTAACGTTATCACGGTTTATTAATAATATTAATCACAGTACTAGAATATTCTTATCTTTTGTATCATAGATTATCTACAACATACCATTGTACGTATTACTCCAATAACCTAACCCTTGTAACGTGGAGGGAAAGGGATTGTTAGTAATGGAGTCTAACTGACTCATTGCTAGCAATACCCTTGTAATATATAAATATCTAATAGATTATAAGGGACATAATTTGCACACGTTACCAGATTTTTTATATTCTGATGGTATTTGAAAAGTGCAGAGGTTCAACTCTGCAATTTTCAAATTGTATATAGAAAAGTACAACGTTGCTAAACCATTAATTCCAAGTGTTAATTGTCTTATTATTGTCATCAGAACAATGAATATAACCTTATCACAAATAGTTTAGTACGTCTATCACACAGTCAACACTAGCTGTTATGTCTGCTACTATACAAATATTGTTATCACCTAAAATATAAACATGTCATAGAATGTCTACAACTCTATGTGTTAACCTCTGCGGTTACCCTAAAAAATAATAAAATTTAATAATAATATTTTAACTATTTACCTTAGTTTTTTACTGCTGAACATAAGCCTTCCCTATAAGGTTTTGCCAGTAGTTGGTAATAGACAACCGCAGTTAGGCTTTTACAAACGTTTTAAGAAGGACGCTGCTGCCCATCCCTCGCCCTTCCTTAGTCGCCTCTTATAACGCTCTCGGCTTACTCATGTTTTTAATTTGTGAATAATCACTCTCTCGGCTTACTCATGTTTTTAATTTTTGAATAATAAATGAATATGAGCGCTAATAATAATGAGCGCTAATACCTTTGACATTCTTTGTTGTTTACTTTAAACGTAATAATTGCATGGCAACACATTCGATAATCAATAGAAACATTTTATTATCGTATATGGTAATAAATCAATCATTGGATTTTGAAAGAAGTGTCATTGATGTCCGTTCTCTTAAGCAGTATATTAATTTATCGTTGTTGTTTTTAAATAATTAAAGGGTGACAAATTTTGTTTTACAAAATAAGCATAAGCATTTTTTAACGGTTGAAAATGAAACGGTAATCTCGCTTGTACTATCGATATACGAAGAATAATAGGCGAGGATAAAAGCTGGTCATGGCGGTTTCTAGGGTGAACCACATGGAGGTGACCTGATAGGGTATATGGCTTGTAATGGGTCTGTTAGACCCAAGTTATTTGCTAACACTCCTTTTCCCCCAATCCAAGCGTTAATTTTGGTTTCAATTCGATTTTTTTACTGATGTGTAGGTAGTTTTTTATTTATTTATATAAGCCAAATATACAATTTTAGCAACTAATATGACAATTGTGCATTTAAATATTTTATCTGCTAATTAAATTCGCACAGCCACTTATTACAAGTAAAGGAAACACAGAAAAAGAAATAATACTATTGAAAATGACAGCAAATATACCAACTTTGAAAAAAAAATCTAATGAACTTAACCTTTTAATAGATAAAATATATTCTATTAGTTACCTTTTAAAACATTCTGTGTTTGAAGACTGATAACAAACTGAGTTTAGTTCGCCGTTATTGAATTATCTACATCAATTATTTAATGACCCATTATTGTTATTAGAATAGTAAACATATACTATTTATAAGATTATTATAAATAATTCAGTAGACAATAAAAAGCTTAGCATAGATATTACGCAGTATACACATAACTAGCTGTTGCCCGCAGCTCTGCATGCTAAGTAGAGATTTTCAATAATTCTCTTAGAGGATTCCTAATTTTGGCTTACTAGACTTATAGTTTTATCTGTGTGTTAATAGTAAGGCATAACAAACGATTTCATAAGTATAGATAGATAAAAACATTATCCGATTAATTTCTGATGATTTATTCACAGTAGGCCAACTGACTTAATTTCATTCTCACCTATCTTTCACTGGTACCTCGCCAGCTTAAACCAATAGCCCACAGGGCATAACTGTTCTTTTGCGTTAAAAAAAATAACAACATTGGCAGTTGTCTGACTATAAAAATATTATTTTCGTTCTATAAACATGCCATAGACTATACAACTCTACGCATTACCCCACGGCTTAACCCTTGAAGAGTATATGCAAATTTCATGCATAAATAAATAAATGTATGGGCCTCTACATCTAGATATCTTCGCGATAAGCCCAGTCAGACATAGATGAATGGCCAAATGTGATTTGTTGACACCTTCGCGTGATAAATACTTTGATAAATCATAGTCGGATTGTACATTTCGCTGTGGAAGGTGTTCTTTATTTATAGCTGTATGTGTTTTTTTCCTTTGCCTGTAGTGATAATGTTTTCGATTCTCCGATATATGGGTAAAGTTATGATTTTTTTATTAAAATATTTTTAGGTTTGTTTTCAATTATGACGTTCAATATTTTTTTAATTGGCATTTTAATAAATTAGAAAAAAAATACCCTTTACAATGAGTAATTGAGAAATGCTATTAAAATATCATGTAGATAATATATATAAGTAGATTTTTTTTAATAAAAAAATAGTTTATCATTATGACTAAATTAATGTGAGAATATCTTAAAAATTGCACTAAGACCTTTTCAATATAAAAAATGTATAATATAATATAATAAAACAGAAAAATATAATTGAATTTAAGCCACCTTATTTTCAAATTTACTAACAAGAAGACGTAACTAATAACTATTACAGTTTTAAAGTGGTTCAGTCACGATATCGATGTATGTCATTTGAAAACGTTAAAACTTTTAATTTTAAAAGTTAAAAATGTATCGTTCTAAATTTGAAATGCACTTTATTTTTTGTCTGTATCACTTTTTATCCTGTTTAGTTTTGTCTATGGTTGCACTTTTTGTTGTAAATTGTTTAAACAACCGTGAACACGTGATCAGAAGCAATCGCGGCCAAAAAACATTTTTTTTTTTATTGCCACGATAAATGTTTTGTCGGATAAAGTTTTTTGTGTATTTAAAGAATATTAGTTTGTATGTACGTCATTGTACTAAATTCAACTGTTTTATTGTTTCAGATATAACGATGGATGTTAATAATTCCCTACCTATACCTATCATTTAAGGTAAATTAATGTAATTTATTTCAGTTCAGTTACAAATTTAGATTTTAAGGAAAATTACAAATAAACACATTATTAAAATCTTATAACTTAGTTATAACGATTATTTATATTTCATATTTAACTTTGTGTTTATAAATTTAACTAGCTGTGTTTCGGTTTGAAGGGTGGGATATGGCGTGAATTTACTGGGTACAGAGGAAAACACCTGAGTCCTCAGGAATGGTAACGCATGGGGGTATCATGGGCGAAACAGTATACTCTGTTATGTCCATGGTACTGCTCATGTCTATAGGCGACGGTTACCACTTTCCATCAGGTGGGCCGTCAGCTTGCTTGCCATTCTAAGTTGTAAAAAAAAAACCATTTATTGTATAAGTCAGGAATTAATGTTAATTTCATATTCCATGACATGAATACAAACAATGTTACTTATATAGTAAAATTGTATTTTAACTATAACTGTAAGAATCGCATCCAATTTAGTGCAGTAATGCCAAGTGACTATTTTAACACTAATCAAGAGACTTAAATTGTAATATCTCTATATTTAAAAAAAATCATTACTTACACGTACATAAGTTATAATATAGATTATTTCACGTGAAAGTACATATTGTTCTTGGTCTAACGGTATGATGTCTGCTTTTGACGCTCACATGCTGTAGGTTCGAATCCCAGCGCGGCCGGCCTGAATCGAAGCTACGTATTTCCTTTGAGTATGTTAGTCAAATCAAGGCCAAAATTAAATGGATCCCAAACGGTCGCGGTCTAGACTCTCGTGTCTTCAACGTATTACCAACGGGGCCCACAGATTTTTAGTCTATTTTCTTTTTTTTATTTATTTAAAGAAGTTTCTCACTTAGAGCATGAGTAAACGAAGGACAGTTCTCGTGCCAATAATTTTTTATTTTTTATTTATAATTTTTAACTATTAGGACATTTTACGTATAGGTTTCCTAAACATACTTGTTTTAATTAGAATAAAATGTATTATCACAATCTAATCTAAAAAAGAAATTTAAATAAACTTAATAAAAAAAAGTATAATAAATTGTCAATTACGTCTAGATATTTTCTATATCTATATAAATTTAATAAGGCTCTTAGGTTTACAGTAAAAAAATGTTTACACACCAACTGCCTTCAATCTAATATTTACCGGTATTTTTCATATCTAGTAAATTACTAGATAATTCAGTTGTTATTATGTATTTTCAGTTGTGTTTTTCTATATGTTTCATTCTGTTATGCTTACCTAACCACAACTAATTGTTAATTTTAATTTAAGGAAACGGCATATTTATTTACACAGTCATACTAATCAAATAAAATAAATATTTAAAATTGAAATACATTTTCTCTGCATTTATTAAATATAGATAAAAAAAATTATACTAATATTTTTTTTTTAATAAATTTATTGGATCAATCTAAATATATCTATATCTATTATAGCCCAATAAGGCCCTTAGGTTTACAGTAAAAAATTGTTTATACTCCAGTGACCTTCAATCGTACGTTAACCGGTATTTTTCGGTCATAGCGAATGGTTAATTATCTATTTTTCAGTTATTGTTTCCTGTTTGTTGAATACTGTTTTGTTTCAATAAATAACGCCAGTTTTTGATATAGTTGTTATGCAGGTATTTTGTACACGTATGTATATTGTTGAGGATGTTTTTAGTATTTAATATTTAGTGGGTAATTATTATTTAAATTAATAAAGTCCGTCTTGCATTAAAATTGACTTTTGCATAATGTCCCTACCTACTGAATAAGTAAGAAAAAAAAAAAAAATACACATTTTTATGTGTATTTTTTAGCCAACCCGACCTGATGATATACCCTATCAGGTCAACGTCCACGTGGTCACTCCTGGAAAGTGTCATGCTGAATTCCAGGTGTATGCATCACGATGGGCTAACTGACCTACCTTTTCATTCTCACCTATCATTCCTCACTGACATTCCGCCAGCACATACCGTTAACGCAGGCGGAGTCACCATTAACACATTGGTTATCATCCATTAAAAAAAACTGATGCTTCCTTTAATAGAAATAAATAGATCATCATAATGGATAAAATTAAAAATAATTATTCGATTTTTTTAAAAACTTTTTCATCTATAAAAAGTTACAATTTTAAAAAAGTAATACAGGTGTATATTATTTAATAATATAATAATAAAAAAAAAATATAAAATCATTTATTCAGCTACAAAACAACAATATTAATAACAACTTTATACATTTAAGTAATAATTCTGTGATAGCGACAGAAATGGTCCCCACTCAGCTAAGCTGCAGCGTGTTACTCCACCGCTGATTTTCAGTGGGGCCACCACTTTGATAAAATAACCTTGCGAAGCCGCGGCCCCTTGCTTAGTATATTAGATCATAAGGAATTGAACAATGAATTGCGAATCTTAAGATTATAGCGGTTTCTTGTTTATAGAACAAGTACTTCAACTTTAATCTATATCTAATATTATAAATAACATGCAAAAATACCGTCAATGTCGTATAAATATTTTATCAAAATTTCAATGTGACTCGAATTATCATAAGTACTAGATAGCGCACTATCGTGTCGGAGAAAGTTTCCTTTGATAAACGATTGATTGATGATAGAACGCATATTAGACCTCATTGTTATCGGCATAAGATTAGATATTGTTTAATCTTGTGCCATTGTGTTTATGATATTTTCATGACTGATGCAATCTTAAAAATGCCAGATTAAATTTCTACCGACTTGGAAAATGAGGAGGCTTTTTTAATAGGTGATGATAATAAAATGGTAACGCAATCCATGCTATCAGTATACGCTGACGGGGCACTAGTGACGAATGATAGATGAGGATGAATGCAGGCCAGTTGGCACATCGTGACTAATTCAATAAGAATTAACCATGATGGTAACGCGTGGAGGTCGACCTGATAGGCTGTTGCTAGCAATGAGTCTAGTAGACGCCATTACTAACAGTCCCTTTCCCCAGAAGGTAGGCTAGTCAGATACAGGCCTGTGTATATTACGGGATGCCTTTGCTAATTATGAACCGATTTTAGTGATTAATTTTTTAATTGAATGGGGATTACTTCCAAGTTTGATAACATACTAATGTTGTCACGAATGAAATGCGGCTTATAGAGAATATGTAAGCTCTCATATCTAATAGAATTTTTATCCACCTTTCACGTGCTAAGTAGTTTTAATTAAATAATCTTTGTTCCATTATACAAATATACTTACGTACTTGCTATACGTTTATCAGTTAGATAATACGAAACCAATTTTAATAAAAAAAAAAAAATATAATAAAATAGATTAACACCAGACACCACGAAACGTCGGCAATAATTCATTTCTTAATGCAATGTTTCTACTATTATCCACATTTCTTTGTACAGCACAGCCGGTCTAAACACACCCTAACCCTTCACTGCCATACGGCGTATTAATACCCCCGACTTTCACATCCTTCCTGTTTTAAATGTATTCATAACACGGCAAAAAACCTAATGCGTATCATTTGACGGTTTCTAGACAAAAGGACTATATCTATTGTGGGGTTAAAAGGATTTTTTTTTTGTTGACTTCGAAAGTGGATCGGAAGATGCAACGGATAGTTTGCTTAGGGCCTGTTGCATGTAGGCCGTTTCAAGATAAATTACTTTCGTTTGTTCTACTTATTCAAGTATAAAATGCAAACGACATATTTAATAAATGTCTATAAAACGTGAAGTAATCGTTAAAAGGTTTATTAAAAGTTAGATTTATGTCCAGCACAGGGACCAGTTACTTTGTGCTTATATATTAATTGCGTGATTACTGCTGTTATAAATTAAGTATTTAATAGATAAAATCAAGAACGTAAATGTGAAACCAACGCTAAATTGATATTGAGTTGCACAACACGGCTCGTTAACTGCAACTACTTCTACCCTTTCAACAAACATCTTACAAACCACCGCCATAAAGTATCTATTGTAAACGTATCCCTTATCTCTGACACAATGCTACCGTGCATTAAACTTACCGATACGGAAACTAAACTACTTTGAATAAAGCATCCCATTGTCAACATTATAAATATTATGCTAATGCGATAAAAGAAAATTTTGACTCTGGGTCCAAACGGCCAGGTGTCGCAGCGAAAGGGTTTACGCATGAGATTCAAATGTCTTGCGCCCCTTAGCATGAATGTGATCATTTATTAAGATTTACCCCATTGTTTAGCGCGTCATTCCCATACACGTATGCATGCATGGCTAGTAATTTATGTGAGAAGAAACTTATATGTTTTTAATATTCTAATACGTTCACGGTGTTGAGGATTTGAATCGAAGACGGTATTTGGTCATAAATTTTTGAGTTTGAAATAGTTAATATTTTTAAGAGCATTCTACCCTTGAATGTTTTGATTTTTAATTTTTTGACTTCCGTTCTCAATTTAAAAAAGATTGCAAGAGTTGAAGCATGTAACGCGCTATTTTTTTAATTGGTATTAGCTAAAAATCAAGCAAGCGTTTTTTAACTCACCGTAATTTTCGTAGTAGTTAGAAAAATAAAAGTAATATTTAGAAAAAGAAGTATCAACATCGGTTTATCGAAAATATTGTGTTACTATAAGATTCAAATGACATTAATTTTTTTTACGTCGGTTAATAGGCATTGTTGCGGCCTCTTTGACCGGTTTTATCGCTGGCCGCTAAGACATTCTACAATTAAAACTGACAGCTTGGGACAAAACAAAAGGACTTAGACAAAAGACCGATAAGAAGACGGACATAATTTTGAGGACTAATTTGCCTTTTAATTTTAATACATTTTGACGACAAATTCGGACCCATTGACCTAAAAAGCGGTCCATCGACCTTTCAGGCATAACACTAAAATTTTAATATTCTCAAGTACTTTTTTCTCAAATACTTTTTTTAACTCAAAAAACCGTCTGTCTATCGAGTTAATAAAGGTAGTACCTATCTCACGATCTATA